AATTGGTCACCCCTCTTGTCTTCATGCTTGATGAACTATCGTAAAGCACTGTAGCCTGCTCTGACGATACCCGTCACATGACGGACGAAAGCTCAGCTAGGACTCATCGCTTTCGCAGTATTGTGAGCCGAGGACTTATTCGCATTTAGCTTCAGTTACAGCTACAAGGCAACCAACCCTCTTTCGACTTCCGGCGGGACCAACTTACAAATACTTTGCACTCGCCTCTTTACACAAAACGAAAGATACTTCAACATCATTCTATCAAGGGATTCTTTGAAAATCAGTTTTTCTACATATTCATATCAAGTTATGCAGAACAAGATGTTATGGCTTTTTGTATGGTCGCAGTCTTCTTTCGATGTATAGAAGTGGGTTGACTCCGTTTTCGCAACTTGTTCGCGTTGTCAGGGCGACCTAGTTGGACGCACTTTGTCCGAAGACCTCTGCTATAGTAGTTATCATAAGGCCCAGCGACGAACTTTGGACTTGGTACATTCTCAGACTATTCCCCGGCATCGTAGTCAACATCACCAATGAGTTGCCATTCCTAGCACCAAGCTACAACTCGTTAAAGAGATAAGTGATTCCGAAGACTTGTGTCTTTAACAAGTTGTAATTCATTGCTTGGAATCGCAAGACTCACTGATGATGTTGACTACGATGCCGGTGAATCGTCTGAGAATGTATCAAGTCCACAATTCGTCGCTGGGCCTTATGATAACTAATATAGCAGAGGTCTTTGGACAAAGTGCGTCCAACTATTTCGCCCTGACGACGCGTCCAAGTAGCGAAATCGAGTTTAACCTATTTCATGTCTAGTGTTTGTGAATTAATCGGCTGCCAGCATCAGTATTTCTTGCATATTATTAGCTGACCAGATTTTATCCCCACAAATTTTTCAGAGAAATGATATAGTTTCTTGCAGATATTAATTCTTATTGATAGCTCACAAAGTAGAAAATATAATACAAACCTTGTCATTCTAATTTAGGAAGCATTAAAAGGTGAGTATTTAAATCCTATGTAAACCTTCGAAGAAATCTGAAACTTTTATTTCTCAATCCTTTTTGGCTTTTTAATATCTTACTGATTTATAAAAGTTTTAAAACCACAGCTGAGTCTAGTTGGGCTTCCTGGACTAATACAATTGCAAAATATGAGAAAGAGTTAAGCAAGTTGCAGTTAAATGTAAACCTAAATGGAGGATTTATGATAGGTAGAATAATCACCTACGAAGGTAATGTCAAAAGTAATTTTCACCCTCATTTTTATGGCCTATTTTTGTGCTTATGATACATGAAATATGTAATGCTTGCGATCTTTCAATGAAGTAATTAAGGCAATACTATAATATCCTTAAAAGCAAAAGAGAGAGTGCTCACTCTATCAACGAAAGCTATAATAAAATGGTCAAATATGGTCTATTATCTGCTTACAAGATACACCGAACAAGAATGTATGTTAGTTCTACCTCACCTAAATCAGACATACCAGGAGCTAGTGTGATAATTTTGTATGTTCATTGCCAAGCGAATCACAATCCAAAGAAACACTTTAATAGCCTTGCCACCCTGCGTCTATAACAGAGCTGCAAGGTTTTATTTTTCTGTTATAACAGAAATTTGTCATTTTAATCAAATCATCCACTTGTATACCTGTTTCCTGGAAAATCTTTCGTCAACCTTTGCTTCCATACGATATGTATTCTCGTACTGTATATTTTTTTGCCCCATCCGGCCTCCCCCCATAATACCAGTCCAGAGACTTCCACGAGATAAACTGAACGACTTCCTCGACTGAGTCAGCTGGGTAAGCGTGCCGCGCCGGGAATGCCCACCGGTGGTGGCTAATACTGAAGGCCGCCTGGGAGGCGGCGAATGGGAGATATTGGTACTAGCTATCGGCCCGGACGGATTAGTTGTCTGGTTGTGATTGGTCGGATGCTGAGCTATGCTTGGCCGAGCTGAGAGTGAAGTGGAGGGTGGAGCTGGGTTCGGCCTAATTTGATTCCCCGCGGCATCTCCAGCCTCCTCATCGTCTCTTTGTGCTTTGCCCCCGGAGCTAGATGGGTTTGCCTGAATTTCGGGTTCAGTGGAGTTCATCTCAGATGTAACCGGTTGATACTCCGATAGAGTGTTTCACAAAGATATGTCAAAAATCTCTCGCCGTTTGCCTTATTCTATCAAGCATTAGAAAGAAGGAAAAAGGGAGAAGGTGTTAGCCGATCGTATGCCTGGATACAACGCAACATGGTACTAGTTCCGCTGTTTTCAAACAATTAAAAGGCAAGCAAAATTATACAGAAGCTTTTGAATATTTAAGATAATATCTAAAAAGGTGCCTAAGTTATAGCTCTCTCATTTATTTTTAAATATAATAGGTCGAGAGCTAACCAATTATAAAAGGCAGGTTTCATTGGTCAAAGCTTTAAAATTGGTAGGGTTTAAACGAGGATATGAGGACCAACATGGTGTGACCACCGGTATGGTCGCAGTATCCTTTCGATTTATAGAATTGGGTTGACCTCGTTTTCGCAACTTGGTAGGGTTTTTCTTGAAAAAATAGGTAAGGTTGACATTCAAGCTAACTAAGACGTTATTCCTACCAACTAAACCTCGCGAGAAAGCAAGGCTAAGAAGATTTGGGATTAAACTACTTGGAGGCATTAATAAGGTTTATGTAATGGGGAATCTTGCTGGGGACCGGCTATGAGGCCAAGGCAAGGCTGATTCGACAATACATTTCAAACGCAATTTAAACGATTTGCAAGTTGTGCTTATAACGATTATAAGCTTCTGAAAACTAAAAGTATTGTCTCTACCTGCTAAGCAAAAGCACAGAAAAAATACTATAAGATATTGTACTTTAAGGTAATAATAGTAGTCGCAA